CTGTATAATGCTTTACTTTAAGATCACTGAAAAACTATCAGACATCCAGAGTTTACGCCACAGCAGTCAGTTTTCTTCAGCGCACACACAAGTAAGTTACATTCAGTTAGTGACACTGAGTGGTGTCGTGTGAAGCCGACCATCTACTCCAGCCTGGTGGGTCATCGTCTCAGCTGGCTGCAATGTGTTTTTTTCTTAACTGCTCCCACTTACGGTTTAGTCACACCTATCCTAACTATATGAAATGAAAATGTACAAAAATGTAGTCAGTACTTTTTTAAATTGTAAGAAGTAAAAATGAGAAACATTAGAAATGTATTTTAGTGAAGTATTCAGTTTAAATTACACTTAAGTTAAGTACAAACCCCCATAAACAATATTTAATTTCAGTAACGTTAGTGAAATAAAATAAAATAACTCTTTACACCTAGCATAAAACGATTGCAAGGCATTTCATGGTAACGTTACATGACTCGTTTCTGCTCACCTGCTCCCTGGTTGTCTGTTTAATAGCATTGACCCTAAATAACATGTGAATATAATGTTGGCTACTTCAGAAAACAGAAAATAAGCACATCTAAAAAAAATCTCTTACTTACCTTTATGAAAATGTAGAGGGTAAACGAACATAACCGGAGATATGTTGGCAAATATGATGATTTTGCATATCACCGCTGCAACCCAGGCCATCTGACTGTTGTTTAGTCTTTTTTTCAAGTGTGAGACCTAAAATATCTTTCTTCGTGGTGAGTTTTTTACCTTTTCTATCATGTAATTCACTATTGCAGACTTTAACACAACAAGAACGTACCATTTTAAATCAAATAAAAAAGACAATTCTCCAACTACAGAACACTTGGCTTTGATACCCTACAAATGGCGGAGATACCCAAAATGCACTTCGATTCTCATGAGTCTGACGTCACCTGACAAAGACAGATTATAAACAGGGTGAAACTGTGCATTTATATCACTTGATAGTGATATAAATGCATTTCTTTTTTCTTTGTTTTTTTGACAGTCTGACAATTTCAAATAAAAATTCATCAAATGTCATAATTTACTCACCTTACTTTCTTCTGTGGAACAAAAAAGGAGATGTTAGGCAGAATGTTTACTCTTTTTGTGTGAAATTGAATAGGGACAAATGCTGTCAATCTTCAAAATGATAAAAAAAAAAAAAACACAAAGGTTATTGTGCCCTATATTCATAGTCGACTGAATCCATGTGATAACTTTGTAGTGAAGAGGATGATTCTTAGCAAATAATGTCTTTAGTTTGTGAAGTCTTAGACATATAGCACCATATAGCACACAAGGTATATAGACCTCTTTAATTATGCTTTTATACTTTTGTTGGAGCTCAACATCCATCCCTGTTTACATTATTGAAAATACCAGCCTGAAGATTCTGCCTAAAGGTGTGATTACATTAGTGAAACTTTGTAGCAAAATAGGTCCATTGTGAGTAGTAAAGCAATGCGTGAAGCAGGTCACTTCCAAACCAAACAGCTTGGTAAACAGCAATTGGTAATATTGGTATATATTATATCATGTTAGTAAATGCAGCAAATTTGCCTTTTTAAGGATCAACAGTCTTAAATCAGATGGGAAATCGGCATGGGCAAATTAGTGACCGAGTATCCCCGTGCAATTTCCAATCATGCTGATTCCATATGACATGACAACATTTCGCTCTCTGAGATTTGCTCTACAAAGGTTACTGCAAATTCATACAGGTTTGGAATGGCATGAGGGTGAGTAAATAACAGATTTTTTTTGAGTGAACTATCCCTTTAATTCATAGAACATTTTAATTTCTCTCTGTTCAGGAAGCTTGCTAAATCCACGCTTGTGTTGGTGTTTGTGTTTGGAGTGCACTACATTGTGTTTGTTGGGATGCCGCACACATTCGAAGGTCTTGGCTGGGAGGTGCGGATGTATTGTGAGCTGTTCTTCAATTCTTTCCAGGTACTTGGAAACGATGCCTTTATTGCATGAATAGCTAATGTAATCAGTGATCTCTGCCAGTCAAGATGCATATGTTTTTCTTTTGATAATCCAAAAATCATAAATTCAAATGTGTATTTTAGCATCATTTATATAAATGCTGTGCATGTATTTTGCATGATTTATTATTGATTTGGTAGAAATGTTATAAAAAAGAGAAGGAAAAACACTCTTTATTTACAAGTCACTGATGACATGCAATTTTTTAAAACTGATCTGGCAATTAATGTTTTTTGTTGTTTTTTTTGCATTAAAAAGGATTTCTTGTACTACGAAAATACTCAACTACTGCAGAGGAAGAATTAAGAAAAAAATTAAGAAATGTGTTTATAATTTCATCAACTCAGAAGTCACTTTCTTCTAAATCTAAATGAATGTTAATGGTCTCTTACAAACCTTGTGGCAAAGCAAAAGAGACAAATCTGGTTTCTTTGGGAAAAGCTAAGATAGTTAGCACTGGTTGTACAAAATATGCATGGTAACAATTTACAACTAGTAAATATAATTAAAAGTAACACCGGCCCACAGATGTCGATGAGAATTTAGCTTACATGTAAATGATTGTTGCACAAACTGTTAAAAAATTTAATATTTAAGTAGTAGCATGTAAGACAGAGAAATATATTGACAGGTCAATCCAATTCACAGCACTCCAAATAGGCTTGACATCTCATGACACACCATTGATTTCTGTTTGAGATGTTCGGTTGTCTTAAATGACAGGTGCTGGTTAGGTTAAGAGTCTTTTATCTGGAGCTTGATGACACGATTCAGTGCTTGTCCTTCCCAAGAAGAATACATCACTTCCCTTTACACTTGCAGTATCTTCAGAAACACAGCCACATTCACAGAACTTGGTAATACAATAAAATAATTTAATGACATTAACATTTAATTAGTTTTTAGGCTGTTAAATATAATAGGCCTATATAAACTAAACAGATCGTCAGTGTCAACTGTAATTAATTAAATACCTAATATAAAAATAATGATTCCAAATCACTGAAAACTATTTGTGACCAAGAAAAAAACATGGACCAGTGCATAATTAACTGTGCTGTAATGTACGTATTATGAACATTTTCCAGAGATGAATAATTTTTTTCTTAATCACTGACTCACAACTAAACTTTCAAATTAAAATCAAAACGTATTATTACTGGAGTCAGTAGTTTGAGACTTTTGCACTGTTGAGACATCGCGCCAACACTTATTTTTGTTTCTCCTCTAGGGCTTCTTTGTGTCTATCATCTACTGCTACTGTAATGGAGAGGTGAGCATCAACAAAGCTGCTTTACAATAATACGGGGGTTATCACAGGATGTGCTATTGATTTCTGTGCTATTTTTTCATTGTTTTTTTGACACTTTGACCATTGCATTGTGTCTCATTTTTTTGCAGCATCAAGCGTTTTCAGGCTAAGCGCACACTTTAAGACTAAACATTGTTGCCCAGTCACACATGCAAAGACTTCTTGCTTCCTGTTGTGCTAGAACACAAATAATCATATACCACACTCTTAAATGTAAAGGTTCTTTATTGGCTTCTGTGGTTCCATGAAGAACCTTTAACATTCCACAGCCACAGCATGCCACAGCCATATCACCCTGCAGCCCAAGACTGGTTACCCACTGTAACTAACCAGGGTTGAGCCTGGTCAGTACCTGGATGGGAGAGCTCCTGGGAAAATGCTCCGGTTACTCATGTAACTTCGGTTCCCTTTCAGTCGGTCAGATCTCGCTTAGAGGAACCAATCTACTTCGAGTGTAAACTAAACGAGCCAATGCACATTGGCATGCGATTATTGCATCCAGCTGCTGCTGATCACAGCGTGAGTATAAGTAGGCAGCAGGTGCAGCGCATATTCAGCTTTTCGCTTCGGAGCCGAGCGATCACATCGTTCCGCTCCTGACTACTCTACGGAGAGAAGACTGAACGAGTTCAGCACGCTCTTGGAGAGCTCTTCGTGTTGGAGGACGGCGCTTCAGCGGTGGTGGTTTTCCCGTGTCGAGTGGGTTGCACACATCAGGCCGCACTACCCCCTGATTGTGTTGCAAATGATCATCTCCCCTGTGCGCCCAGCACGCTAAAAGAGCTTTTTCCCCTAAAAGAGCAAATTCGGGTGCGTCTTTCTAAAGACGACGTTGCTTGGCAAACTTGACGTTACGTCTTTATAAAGACGATGTGGGTCTTGCTATAGACAACGTATCACCCGGGCGTTCTGGATGCGGTCGTTACCTGGCGCTGGGTGATGGTCACGATCCCTGCCTCTCGTGCCTGGGCATGAAGCACGCTGAGGTGGCTTTCGTGGATGGCTCATGCTCCCATGGCGGGGGTATGACCATCTCGGAGTTGCGGACCGGACTCCGTTACCTGAAAGGGGGCGGAGTGCCCGTGCCACCGCCTAGATCTGGGGTTCCCTCTGGTGGCAGCCGGGGGCGTCCTTCTAGCGGTGGGCGGACTGGTCTTACGGTCACGGTGAGGAATCCCCCTCCGGGGATGCCCAAGCCCGCCGGCACATCGAAACCAGCGGAGCTCTCAAAAAGAGCAGGCTGGACCCTCCCGGGGGGTACCACCTGTTTCTTCCGAGGCTCCCCCCGACGATCAGATGTCGATTGCAGCATCGGAGGGTGAGCCAGAGCTTTCTGGAGAGGAAGATTCGACTGTGTTGCTCTCCACCGGGACCGTAACAATGCCTGGATCGGATCCAGAAATAATGGCTATGCTTTCCCGGGCCGCCGTAGGGGTAGGGCTCGAGTGAAGACTTTCACCGTGTCCCGAGCCCTCAAGGTTGCACGATTGGTTCTCGGGGTGGTCCGCGCTGGTTCTCAGCGCCCCGCCTCGGTGCCTTTCTTCCCGGAGGTGCATGAGGAGCCCAACAGGTCGTGGACGGCGCCTTTTTACTGCTGCAAACTGATTTGCTGGATCCTCCTCCCTCACCACCCTTGATGGTGGGGCAGCTAGGGGGTTACAAGGGTCCCCCCGGTGGAGCGGTCGGTTGCGATGCAGTTGTGTCCTAATACCGCCTCCAACGGGCAGGGAGAACCGCGCCTCCCCTCCCGGGTCTCCTGTACCACCGCTGAGCGGCCGGGTCACCGGCTCGGCTCCTCAGCGAAAACCTGAATATGCGCTGCACCTGCTGCCTACTTATACTCACGCTGTGATCAGCAGGATGCAATAATCGCATGCCAATGTGCATTGGCTCGTTTAGTTTACACTCGAAGTAGATTGGTCCCTCTAAGCGAGATCCCAATTTCGTCTGTCCTCCGACGTGACGTCTCCATTCCCTCCTTCAGGGAACGAGGGTTACATACGTAACCGAGACGTTCCCTGAGATAAGGGAATGAGTGTTGCGTCGTCATTGACGACTGCTTGGGGGAAACTCCTGTTTACTCTTGTTACTGAAGCTTGATTTGTTAACGTTTGTGTAGTTGCACAAACCAATGGCACTCGAGCCCGCCACAAGGGGCGGAGCCGACTGCTATATAAGTCTGCCCGGATGCCATTTCATCAGAATTGTGTGCAACTACCTACAACTACAAACCTTATCTCAGGGAACCGAGGTTACGTGAGTAACCTGAACGTTCCCTATCGAAAGGTAACTCCCATTGCATCGTCATTGACGACTGCTTGGGGAACGTATCCAGTAGTGCCGTGCTATAAGCAGATGCAGAACTTAGCCTGCTCCGCGAGCTTAGCCCAGGAACACTCAGCGAGGGCTCCATAAGCCTGAGCCACTAGGAGACCCAAGAACGTTCTGAGGTCTACTTGAGATAACTCTCCCCACCCGAGGAGGGGGGGGGGAAAGTAAGCATTAGGTGGATAAGACCCGCGCCTGCAGGGCAGGAACATCCACATTTTAGAATCTAATAAAGGTAGACGGCGACGACCAGCCGGTGGCCGCACAAATCTCCCCAATAGAGATTCCACTGGACCAGGCCCAAGAGGAGGCCATTCCTCTGGTGGAATGGGCCCTCACACCAAAAGGGCATTGCAAGCCAGCTGTGGCATAAGCCAGAGCTATAGCGTCTACTATCCAATGAGATAGTCTTTGCTTTGTGACAGGCAGGCCTTTAGAGCGGCCTCCAAAGCACACAAAAAGCTGCTCTGATTGTCTGAAAGACTCAGAGCGCTTAATGTAAACTCGCAGTGGAACATAACAAGTTGGGACCTTGTTCGCCATCCGTTTGAGGGAGGCCTAAAAGGGAAATGACCTGGGCTCTAAACGGAGTTGATTCAGATGTCTGAGATCAAGAATCGGTTCGAGGAAGTATCGGCTGTAGAAGCCTGACTCGCTGTTCATTTCCACTGCACCCTTTGCAAGTAGTGTTTGCACTTCGGCTCGAAGAACATTAGATTCATTGTCCTGCACAGAAGTCTGCACAACACCTCTGAACACAGGTGGCCTGCGTCCACAGGTGGAATTTGGGTCCGCTATCACAGCGGTAGTGTTTCGTGGCACACGCTAAAATGGCAGGACGTGCCGTGCTAAAAAACCTCCACCGCTCAGAGATGCTCAAAGGGGTGGGGAATGATCACGAGCCTTCTTCGAGGGGGTACCGGCATTTGCAAGAACTTGCCCTCTCCTCTTCCTCTCTACACGCAGATCAGGACGATTTCTTAGGCTCAGGGTCCAGCACTACACGAGGGCAGGGACCTTTCTGCTTCAGAAAGGGATACCTCCTTGCCGTCCGGGGGTGCTGTTGGATGTCAGGCTCTGGCTTGTGAGAGAGCTGAGGCTGTGCCGTCTTTGCAGGCTGCTGTGTGGACGCTGGCTTGGGGTGGCTTGGAACAGTCGCTGTGCTGGAGCGCTTAGGCAGAAAATGAAGCAGTGCTTGCGACGTCTTTTGAGCCTCAGTAAAGTGCTCAGTGATGCCGTCCATGGCAGGGCCGAAAAGTCCCTTGGGGGAAACGGGAAATCGAAAAACACATTTAAAATTGTAACCTGGCATTTTTTTCTCATCTCATCATGCCTTGGGATAGTCTGGGCTGTGAAGGATCCATTTCTTATATCCTTTATGGCCAGGGAAATGAAAGATGCATTTCGAGGCTGCATTTGAATTTGGATGTAGCCTCTTAATTGGGACACAGCTGCAGTGGGTTTCATGTGTTTTGGTAAGGTGGGTACTGCTGTTGCCTACATTCCGGGGGTGTCTGCACACTAAAAACTGAAGCGAAGCAGGGTTGTGTTTGGTTAGTATGTAGATGGGAGGCCTCCTTGAGAAATCTATGTTTCTGTTGGGTGTTAGTGAGGCCAGCAGGGAGTGCTCACCCAGTCTTTCCAATGAGATGTTAAAGGGGTCATATGATGCGATTTCAATTTTTCCTTTCTCTTTGGAGTGTTACAAACTCTTGGTGCATAAAGAAGATCTGTAAAGTTGCAAAGACTAAAGTCTCAAATCCAAAGAGATATTCTTTATAAAAGTTAAGAGTCAGTCACGCCTACCTAAAACGGCTCGTTCTAAGACGCCCCCACATACCTACGTCACTATCTGGGAAGATTTGCATAACGCCGCCCAAATGTTCATGCAAAGAAAGAAGGCGTAACTTTTATTCTCGCTGTAATATTGTTGTTGCCGCCGCCATGTCGTGAAGGCACTGTGTGATTCATTGTGAAAGCGAAACTACTTTGTTTGGCCGTCCAAAAGAGGAGGATGTCTGCTTCGTCATGACTGGAGCTGATCCGTGCTGGTTGCTGAGGAAATACTACAACTTTGCGCTGTGGATCGCCGGATCAGCTTTCACCGTGGACGAAGCGGAGTCCAGCCCGGGGTCGTCACATGTGGTTGCCGCA